CCGAAAGCAAAACCCATTGTGAAGTACATGTCACCCATTCCACCGTTAGGAATCCAGGTTTAGTACTACTCATGTTCTTTACCGATACAACGTATGTCTTACACAGACACATGTTACTTCAGCAGTTATTTTTTTTTCAAACAACAAATTAGATAAATACACATGTAAAAATATTTTTATATTAAAATAACAACGTTCCTCCCTCTCTTAAAAAGATTTATTTGACTAACTAAGATGAGTATCTGGAAATAGACTTAAAAAGACTTCCTCTTTAAGACTGTTAAAAGATTTTAAGGGGCGAAGCTGGGAGTAGAGGGAAAATCTTTACTGTTGTTTTCCTTGTCTTTGTCTTACTCCTTATTTCTGTTACTGATGTTGGTGTTGCCACATCCTGAACAGTGAGAATGGAACAGAGATGAAGCGATATTTTTTTTTTACTTTTCTACGTTATGATTAAAAAAAATAAATGTGTCATTGTCATCATTCATTTCTTTCGTGATGCCATTTTCTGATTTCAACATATAAATATTGCATGCAGCTGATCTCAATTTATTGAAATGGTAACAAAATTTCCAATAAATCTTCGATTAAAGATATAACTATAGATTTTGATTTTAAGAAATCCGATAATCATTCTGAAAATCTCGTAATTAGTAAAATAATTCATACATTGCCGTCAAACCCAAACACGTTGAATCTCTCAAATATTTACTTTTTTTTTCCTTTCCCTGATACGATAGGTTAAAGCAATTTTTCGATCTACATAACTTATTGACCATGGTCATTTTTAAATAAATGTGGAACTAAAAACGTAATACATGTAGATCATTTCAATACACACTTATAATTGCGTGACTTTTAGTAATGTTCAATTACATTTTACTTAAGATTTTAAATTGGAAGGCTGGGTACCATATTTAGATTATCTTTGCTATTTCTTTACAACTGTCTTTTCTGTTTATTGAAAGATCTACCATGTTTCCACTTGTGGTAGCACTAAAGTTTAAATTTATCATTTCTTAGAATTAACTGTATTTCAAAGAATGTAAAAGTATAGCAAAAAAAAAACCCTTCGTTTTTTTTAAATATGTTATTTGCCTTTATTTAAATTTAACACAATTAGTCTGATAATCAATAAAAAAAAGTCAAATCTATCAGATATTTAAAGTACATGTATTAACTTCCCAAACACATGCGAATTTGAATATTTAAGAGCAAATAATTGAGAAACATATAGAAAACAAGCATTTACAATTATTTTTCAACATATTATTCCGAAATTTGTATAACAGAATGTGTTCAGGTATACGGAAAATTAATAAAAAAAAATCGATTTAGTAAATTCATTGCATCATCTTGTACCGGCAAAGTTGCGCATCTGGGTGAATCATTTTGTTTGAAATATCAATCAGTATTGATCAGTGCCAAGTAAGTTTAAATGTTACTTCATTAACAAATTTTGTCTGCATCTAACTATGAACCTGTATGCCATGTCCTTGAGCAATACAACAGTGTCCTTACTTTATATAAAAATTAAAGAAATTGAATATTTTTTAAGAACTTCATTTCATTAAAACATGTATTTTTATGATTATTAAAATTATTATCCTCTGCACTCTATACTGAAAGTATCAATTCTAATTACATGTAATATTTTATGAAATAGACTACGTGGCGCAGTGATAAAAGCTTTTTCTCTAGTTTTTTTTTACAAAAAGTTTTTATCCGATTGGACGTTAACATTGGTCCTTACGATGATCCCTAGGTCCCATGTTGCAGATTTTGAGACTTTTGTAGATCTCGTGATCTCTTAAGGATCTCGTATCGCAACACGTACAAGCACCATAAAAATCCCCCATGCTCAAAATACCCATAATATCGAGCAGAGCTCTCTAAGTTCGACAGTCAATTTTAGTCAATTTTAGTTTATATCTGCTAAATTTCCTGTCTATAATTCAAAGAATTTCAAAAGTAGTATTTCCCTGTTCGCGGGAACCTACATGTAGCTACAAATTCTCCCACAATCAAATTTCCCTGTCACACAGGAAAATATTTGCTAACACATGAATGCAGTACTGTTTGGAAGCAAAGGTATATTTTTCTCTCTAAATTTTATTTAGTAAATATGTGTCTAATTGTTTCTCTCTTGTCTACCAGTTCGCCCGAATACTTTTCTACACCATTTCCTTAAAAGTTTGCAAATATTTGCTGATTAATGGTATGTCAATGTATCTAGAGTAACAGGCCAAATTATAATTTTGCTGTGATTCTATTTTTTTATGAAATATTCACTTTTAAATTTTTAAGGAATTCTGATGTGCTTTTAATTTAAGCAATAGTGGATTTTGAGAATATTTTTGCTATGTAAGTCTACCTTGATGACTCAAAAGTCTTTTAATTATTTGTTTTGCTTCATTGATGTTTGACCGATATACATGTATCGCAAATTAAGGTGAGATGTTCCTCAGATATCTACTTTGCATATTTTCGTAATGTATACAAATATATTAAAAAAATTAATCACCTTGTGATTTCTAAAGTGGTTTCTAATTGTGTTTTAAACTTTACAATGCTAGGCAACATGATCAAATTCATTCTATGGTTTCTTGCATAAATGCCTAGTAAGTTGTCTCAATTTTTTGTGAGTTAATTTGTAAATGTAGCATTACATTAATTACAAATCTTGGCAAAGTTTATACTTTATTTAAATGGAATCCGGATAGGCCACACAGTACACTATTGCGTCAATACTCTGTGAAGGTTTGTGTCGGTAGTGCGATGACGCGCTATAATGCAATGAAGATGAAGCGATGGTTCGACGGTGATGAGGTAATGGTGCGATAGCGCGATGACGATTATGTTATGACACGATGTTGCGATGAAAATGATGAAATGCATGTAAGATGAGGCGATAGAGCGATGACGCCATGGTGCGATAGCGATGACACGATAGTGTGATGACAATGTTGCAATGAAGACAGAGCGATATTCACTATCGCTCCATCGTGCTATCGCACCATCGTCATCGCATTATCGCGCCATCAAGCGTTGAGTCGAAGCTGAATGGTGCCATAGTGATTTACATGACTCTTTGTGTATTTCAATTGGAGAACAGTTACTCCAGTGACCTAACGATTACAATTCCTAACAATGCTATTCTACACTATGCGCACCTTATAGAAGAATACGACACATATGGGCAGGGTAAACACGTCACCGAAAGCAAAACCCATTGTGAAGTACATGTCACCCATTCCACCGTTAGGAATCCAGGTTTAGTACTACTCATGTTCTTTACCGATACAACGTATGTCTTACACAGAAACATGTTACTTCAGCAGTTATTTTTTTTCAAACAACAAATTAGATAGATACACATTTAAAAATATTTTTATATTAAAATAACAACGTTCCTCCCTCTCTTAAAAAGATTTATTTGACTAACTAAGATGAGTATCTGGAAATAGACTTAAAAAGACTTCCTCTTTAAGACTGTTAAAAGATTTTAAGGGGCGAAGCTGGGAGTAGAGGGAAAATCTTTACTGTTGTTTTCCTTGTCTTTGTCTTACTCCTTAATTCTGTTACTGATGTTGGTGTTGCCACATCCTGAACAGTGAGAATGGAACAGAGATGAAGCGATATTTTTTTTTAACTTTTCTACGTTATGATTAAAAAAAAATAAATGTGTCATTGTCATCATTCATTTCTTTCGTGATTGCCATTTTCTGATTTCAAATATAAATATTGCATGCAGCTGATCTCAGTTTATTGAAATGGTAACAAAATTTCCAATAAATCTTCGATTAAAGATATAACTATAAATTTTGATTTTAAGAAATCCGATAATCATTCTGAAAATCTCGTAATTAGTAAAATAATTCATACATTGCCGTCAAACCCAAACACGTTGAATCTCTCAAATATTTACTTTTTTTTCCTTTCCCTGATACGATAGGTTAAAACAATTTTTCGATCTACATAACTTATTGACCATGGTCATTTTTAAATAAATGTGGAACTAAAAACGTAATACATGTAGATCATTTCAATACACACTTATAATTGCGTGACTTTTAGTAATGTTCAATTACATTGTACTTAAGATTTTAAATTGGAAGGCTGGGAATCATATTTAGATTATCTTTGCTATTTCTTTACAACTGTCTTTTCTGTTTATTGAAAGATCTACCATGTTTCCACTTGTGGTAGCACTAAAGTTTAAATTTATCATTTCTTAGAATTAACTGTATTTCAAAGAATGTAAAAGTATAGCAAAACCCTTCGTTTTTTTTTAAATATGTTATTTGCCTTTATTTAAATTTAACACAATTAGTCTGATAATCAATAAAAAAAAGCCAAATCTATCAGATATTTAAAGTACATGTATTAACTTCCCAAACACATGCGAATTTGAATATCTAAGAGCAAATAATTGAGAAACATATAGAAAACAAGCATTTACAATTATTTTTCAACATATTATTCCGAAATTTGTATAACAGAATGTGTTCAGGTATACGGAAAATTAATAAAAAAAATCGATTTAGTAAATTCATTGCATCATCTTGTACCGGCAAAGTTGCGCATCTGGGTGAATCATTTTGTTTGAAATATCAATCAGTATTGATCAGTGCCAAGTAAGTTTAAATGTTACTTCATTAACAAATTTTGTCTGCATCTAACTATGAACCTGTATGCCATGTCCTTGAGCAATACAACAGTGTCCTTACTTTATATAAAAATTAAAGAAATTGAATATTTTTTAAGAACTTCATTTCATTAAAACATGTATTTTTATGATTATTAAAATTATTATCCTCTGCACTCTATACTGAAAGTATCAATTCTAATTACATGTAATATTTTATGAAATAGACTACGTGGCGCAGTGATAAAAGCTTTTTCTCTAGTTTTTTTTTACAAAAAGTTTTTATCCGATTGGACGTTAACATTGGTCCCTACGATGATCCCTAGGTCCCATGTTGCAGATTTTGAGACTTTTGTAGATCTCGTGATCTCTTAAGGATCTCGTATCGCAACACGTACAAGCACCATAAAAATCCCCCATGCTCAAAATACCCATAATATCGAGCAGAGCTCTCTAAGTTCGACAGTCAATTTTAGTCAATTTTAGTTTATATCTGCTAAATTTCCTGTCTATAATTCAAAGAATTTCAAAAGTAGTATTTCCCTGTTCGCGGGAACCTACATGTAGCTACAAATTCTCCCACAATCAAATTTCCCTGTCACACAGGAAAATATTTGCTAACACATGAATGCAGTACTGTTTGGAAGCAAAGGTATATTTTTCTCTCTAAATTTTATTTAGTAAATATGTGTCTAATTGTTTCTCTCTTGTCTACCAGTTCGCCCGAATACTTTTCTACACCATTTCCTTAAAAGTTTGCAAATATTTGCTGATTAATGGTATGTCAATGTATCTAGAGTAACAGGCCAAATTATAATTTTGCTGTGATTCTAATTTTTTATGAAATATTCACTTTCAAATTTTTAAGGAATTCTGATGTGCTTTTAATTTAAGCAATAGTGGATTTTGAGAATATTTTTGCTATGTAAGTCTACCTTGATGACTCAAAAGTCTTTTAATTATTTGTTTTGCTTCATTGATGTTTGACCGATATACATGTATCGCAAATTAAGGTGAGATGTTCCTCAGATATCTACTTTGCATATTTTCGTAATGTATACAAATATATTAAAAAAATTAATCACCTTGTGATTTCTAAAGTGGTTTCTAATTGTGTTTTAAACTTTACAATGCTAGGCAACATGATCAAATTCATTCTATGGTTTCTTGCATAAATGCCTAGTAAGTTGTATCAATTTTTTGTGAGTTAATTTGTAAATGTAGCATTACATTAATTACAAATCTTGGCAAAGTTTATACTTTATTTAAATGGAATCCGGATAGGCCACACAGTACACTATTGCGTCAATACTCTGTGAAGGTTTGTGTCGGTAGTGCGATGACGCGCTATAATGCAATGAAGATGAAGCGATGGTTCGACGGTGATGAGGTAATGGTGCGATAGCGCGATGACGATTATGTTATGACACGATGTTGCGATGAAAATGATGAAATGCATGTAAGATGAGGCGATAGAGCGATGACGCCATGGTGCGATAGCGATGACACGATAGTGTGATGACAATGTTGCAATGAAGACAGAGCGATATTCACTATCGCTCCATCGTGCTATCGCACCATCGTCATCGCATTATCGCGCCATCAAGCGTTGAGTCGAAGCTGAATGGTGCCATAGTGATTTACATGACTCTTTGTGGATTCCAAACATGTATACCGTATAAGTGGACGGGGTACATTTAGCGAGTTGTCCTTAAAAATGGGTATCAATTTTTAGCAAGAAGTAACTTTAGAGATATTAAAAAGGTCACTAAAGAAGCCATTACAACTAAAACGGAATTGATATTCTTTAGCGATATTCAATTTAAGTGATTTCAGCACCCTCTCTAATAATGCCAAAATTAAATCCTCACTAAAAATACTGCTCATAGGGTATTTAGGCACAGATTGTCAGTCCTTAGAGTTTTATGATGCGAACTTCCACTTACGCGTTGTTTTTATCACTTATTTGAAATAAGTTAAGAGACCTCTTTTTAAAAAAAAATCATCCCAAATTCAGAAAAACATAAGTATCAAAAAATTACCAATATCATCAATCATTATCAAAAAAAAATTTCAAAAATTACCATGTCTGTATACTGGTATATAGGGGACTTTTTAAAAACTGCTAAAAAATTAAATCATAAAACCTATTTTTTTTTTAAGCATGAGAATCGACACTGTAACCTATCGAGTGTAACAAACACTACTTATATTTATTTTTGTTAAAACATGTACTTATGATTCATCTGGCTCAATTTTTCTCCTATCCAGTACATGTATCTTTAAAATCAAATGCAACAATAAAGAGCTTAAGCATTTTAAAGAATTGCCAAAAGATATTTAATTCAAACACAGATGTTATATGTAATATAAATATATAAATATTTGAATAACTTGTCAATTTATTAGGTGTAAATGCTGACAAATGAGAACGTGCAAATTTGCTGATGTGGATCCTTGTCATGTTAAAATACCGGTGATTTATCAAAATATGTGTGAACGCAAAAGAATGGTAAAGTGTGTATTTGCACAAGTAATTCATTGTATTTAAAATCACTTCAAAAAATCACTATGTTATTAGTTTTTAAAGCACTTTAATCCTTTATCTTATACATCACCATCTTGTTGAGCAGTTCATACAACCACTTTTTTATACAATCATAAATAAGCGAGAATATGTTAAGAAACAAAAAAAAAATGAAAATCTTCTTACATCCACAAAAACAAAATACATAGAGCATTTTATTATTATTATTATTCATGACTATAACGTTTGACATCAGTTAAGATTATTTATGTCTATAATGACATATTCATCTTAAAAACAATATTTAAACAAATTTAATTTTACTTTTAATGATTTATGATACAGATGTAAATATGAAAAATTAACTCTTTTTTCCCGTACTAACAAACAAAGAGAGCATTTTATTATTCATTTAAATCATGGACTTATACATGTATGTTGATATTATATTCAATGTCATTATTTTCCTCTTGACTAAAATAACATTTTATACGTGCATCTAGTACGACAATATATTAATTTCCTTGTGAAAAAAATCTGTGTCCTCAAATATTTTGCTCAAAAGTGATTATTCAAATTAAATTCTATTTGCCTGTATTTAATGATCGAGCGTGCGTTGAGTGTGTCCCAAATATAACTCACTTTGAAAAAAAAAAAATCAAAGTGCGTTGATTTTGTGCCAATTTTAACCCACTTTGAAAAGCTTTTTTCACTCATATAAGGCACTGTATATATATAAAGTTTAGGGCTTCAGATTTGGATTTGTACTTGGCACTATAGATCATTGAGTAATGAGGTCTTTATAGTGCCAGGTACGTGGGCACGGGGCCTTGTCAGTTAAAAGGTCTCATGCAAGCTTAAGGACCAACCAATTTTACTTCAAAGGACCGACCACTTGGAGGACGGAGGAATTTTAACCAACTTAGCTCCGTGACAACCGTTATTCGAACAAACGTCCTTCCGATCACGGAGCTTGTTCTCTAATTTCTGAAATAATGAATTATTAAACAATCATTTTCTTCACGGGGACTATTTATAGCATATACGTGTTGACTAGATGGTGGTGTACTTCTCTGACTCGTACACTTTTTTTCATTATGCAATAGTTAATAATAGTTTACATTTTATCATCAGTTTTAATCAACGCATAGTTTTTCATGTAAATAATTTTACTATTTACCCCCCACGACCAATTTTTAATAAAGAACTTAAAAATGATACATGTATCATTTTATTTTGCACTAATCATTACGTGACGTTCACTCTACACTGATAATTTAAATTCAAACATGGGATTTGCCAGTGTGACCAATCAAACTTAACAAATTTTGCTTGATTTATTTAATACCTATATATAATTCAAAACAAACATTAAGCCATAACTGTGACTTAGTTAGTTTGCTGAACATCATGAATTTTAAGCATACTGATTTTTTTTCCTTCTAGACTAAAATAAAATCTTGCAGTCATGCATGTAGTACAATATTAATTTAATTTCCTCGTTTATTAAATCAGTTTCCTAAAATATTTTCCGTTAAAAAACCGGTAGAGAACAAAATATTTAGTTTAATTATATTTATATGTATTTAATGATGTTAATTGATTATAAAAAAATTAAGATCGTGTCAAATGTTCATAGTTATTTCTTTATCAATATAAATTACATGTATTATTTTTAAGTTGAAAGATATAGATATATTTTAACCTTAACCTTCCTTTCATAATTTCATACATACTTGATAAGATTTCATCGGTTAATCTTGTATCTAAAAGATGTTTTTCTGTGTGTTGCTTAAAAAGATTTCCTGTTCTTGGAAACCAGAAAACTTCCATCTCATTAAAATTAGTTCGAGTCAGCTATGGAAGTCAATAGCGATATTTAATCACATTATAATTCTAGAATGGAAAATTAACTGACAGGAGTTAAGGAGAATATTGTCTATCTCAGCCTCTAAGACATTTAAAATAATTCACAACTCGGAGAGTCTTTTATTTTTCTGAAATTTTAAAATCCTGTAATACATGTATCTCATTCAAAGAGCACGATATATCATTCGTTTATGATAAATATAAAGTATGCCAAACATTTTTAAAAATCGCATTTAAATATACATATAAGGTGAGATAAAATTCTCTGCGGGTTGACGACAGCTTCCATATATAAGTCGAAGTCAATGTGTTTAAATACATCGCAAATTGAAATAGAAATTCTTTTGTACAAATGGTTTACCTACTATAAACATGCAATGATGATCTTCAAACTGTGTGAAAGGTAACTCATATTACAACTCCTCGCAAAAAAGACCCAAAGATTTCTGTACTGTAACATGAACAGAATAAATGAATAGTCAAACGCTTGGATTTATCCACCAATCCAATTTAAGACAATAGCTAGTTGATCTTGTATAATTTTTGTATTGATTAAAATTTCAAACATCTTGATTAGGCAAGTTTTTAAAATATCAAGTTTTTTTTTTTCAACAATTAATTTGAATACTTATTTTTGTTTGATGAAACATCTGCTACAAATATTTTAGTTCTATTTCACAGCAAAGAGAATATTTTCAACTGTTTTGAAATCTTAAAAAACATCCAAAATATACTATAACTGACTTTGCGGAAATTTACCTGGATTCAAGAAGAATGGATGATAAATGTGTATCCTTATCCTGTTGTTGAGGATTTTATCTACATTTTTTTAATCATGTGTAACAAAAGAGATAAAAGAAGCAAATGGAATAAATATTTATTAAAATTATCATCTGTAAAAATCCTTTTTTTCAGAAGTAATAACCTGTGCTTTAGTTGGAAAGAAATGAATATTGGGATAAGGAGTTTTGATTCTTAGGGATTGAATTCATAGTGAGTGACAGACAGTTACTTTATTTTGTGAAATTAACGTTATGTCGAAGCCTTGAATTTATAGTATCGTAATAATTCGTGAAAATATAAAGTAGACTGAGATGTAGGGCTAAAATCAAATAATCTCCCCTCCCTTTAGAAAATAAGAACAAACCACGTCTTTTCCACTGTTAAAAGGGACTTGGCGAAAAGTACACGTTGCAAATTACAAGAGGTACCGAATAATTTGAATTCATCCCACTTCATATATCCGTAATTAAAGATTATAGAAAACCTATCTAAATTTAAAAGAAATATTGATATACTGTACATAATAAAAGACTTGCTCATAAACTCAGGTAGAATTGCAGAAAATAAAATTCTCCTAAGAACCTTCTGTTAGGTACAGTACGAGTAAAACATACGAACATATAATTTTCCCCAAATACACAAACATAAACATATCTATTTTATTGTATTTAGTAATTTTCCAGTTGTTGAATGAAGACGTGTACTTTTAACCTTTTTGAGACAGTTTTTTTTCTATTTACAGGACTCTTCAAATACAGGAACGGACTACACAGTGTTCTATTTATCACGTAAAAATGTTTCAGTTGTGGAAAAATCAAACAACGAATGTGTTGATTTTTTCAGGTTCCAATCTCTCTCTCTCTCTCTCTCTCTCTCTCTCTCTCTCTCTCTCTCTCTCTCTCTCTCTCTAATACATAAGATTATATATTTTATTTGTATTGTGATTAAAGTTCTATGATTTTTTTTTCAATTTTATAAATGCAAAATTGTTTTACATATAATATGAACGACTTTTCTTTGTCTTCAAGGAGAATTGCAGTGTAAAGCAAATTTTCTTTAAAAAAACGTAAATGTTATTGTTTATATATATATAGAGAGAGAATAGAAATGGAATTTTAAAAGGCGATAATAACAGTGTAATTACGATTAGAATAATTGACATTAAAATCATCACAGAAACACGAAACATAATGAACTTTCGAATATTTCAGAAAATTTTAATTTTGATACTTCAAGCTGACGAGTTAGTAGCCTATCCAAACTCCAAATTATTGCTTACATTTATGAACAGGCAACGTTCAGAGATAATGGAGGATCCGTTCTTGAGTACTTAAGTAAAGGTGAAATCGAAAGAAAAATAGTCTAAGTGAGGAAAAATGTTCAGCTTATGTCATACTATCTATATATTGCTAGAATTCCTTCATGAAAATTAATATGATTTATACGGAACTTATCTTGAGATAGAAACAATGCCTTAAAGGCATACGCAATGTACCTTACCCACTGATAATTTTTCAACATATTCTAAATTTAAATTTATAATACCATTACATGTTCTTAGACAAAAAAAACCAGCTTGCGTTACCAGGGGTTTTGAAAAGATATCAAATTTTGAAAATTTTTGCATTATTCAAAGAAAAAATGTATAAAAATTACAAAACATAAATTCCAAATTCTTTTCATCAAAATTTTTTTACAAGAGATATACATATCCATATATAGACATTAAAAATATTTCACACGGGTCCTTCTTTTAGTGGAACTCTTCAACTCCAGGGAAAAGTTCGATAAAGTTTAAACTATATTGCGTATGACCTTAACAAATAAAAACAATCCATTTGAAAATGATTTCAAATGAATAAGAACTCTCTTTAAAATGGGATGACTTGCCTTAATTGAGTTTTCCTGGATTGTACATGTATTAAGGACGAGTTTTCTCATGGTTAATTGCCACTGTATAATAAAAAGAAAATTCTTGTTCCGGACAGTTTTGAAAAAAAATATATGCAATTGTGATGTTTTTCTTCTTATTCAACTTATCTAGCTAGTTTTCGTGTTGTGTTTGGTTTTTCCTGGTTTGAAGCCCAAGACAAATGTCATACACATGGGGAAAGATTAGCGGCTTATGTTCCGCCTAAGCCAAGTACACCTTTTTGGTCTTCATATCATAATCGCACCTCCCACTGGATAGGAAATTTGGGTAAGCTCAGTATTAACCATGCAAGTATCTGAATATTTCTTTGCAGTATTTGAAAACGATATTGATAAATTTCATACAAGGGTTATATTATAAGGAAGCGTGCATTTTCTATTTGATTTTACTAAAGTATTTGACTTTTATTACTAATCAATAAATGAACATCCATCGTTATATTTTCTAAATACCATTTACAAAACAAATGGTATGTATCTCATGAATTCTCAAAACTCAATTTCATCCTCAAAAATGTCATTGCTTTTTTTTTTCGGATGACTTGCCAAATAATTTGTCATTCAACAATCACATTTAATTCTAAAATGTGCACTTTTTATTTTACTTCAATAACATCATAATGCAGATATTCTTGCTCATCCAACCGTAGCTCATGAGAACGGGAACGTTTTCAAAAAGAAAAAGAACATAAGGATGTAAATGATCATGAATACCCTTCCCTTTATAAGCATGTACCTAGGTTCTAATAGTGCATTTATTTTATGAATTGTATTGATAAGCTTTTTATATTCTTTATTGTGTAATGTGATCGACAAGATTAAATTGTTTTCATTTATTTACGTAAGGAGACTTTTACTACCTACCCTCCATTCCTATATAAATAATAAATCTAATGTACATGACCGATTAGATTTATTTCACATCTCAATTTTACAAAGGATTTTATTCAAGTATAATAGTGCAGTGCATGTATCAATGTGTATAATTCTTCGGCCTGATTTGTTCATAAAAATATGATTCTAAAAAGAAAACATTGCAATTATTCTACTCAAAACAATTTTCCTATAAAGTCAAAAAACTTTTTTAGTTGCTTGTGTTTCTGCTTGACAATGTCTATGTTGTTTTTAGCGACCAGGTCTTCCAACAATCTACTGGAATTCCCATGGGTACCAATTACGCCCTTTTATTGGCTGACCTATTTTTGAATTCATATGATGTAGGATTTGTGCAAAATCTTATGCGTGAAAAGAAGAAAACACTGGCTGTGACCTTCAGATTTAGATATATCGACGACGTATTTCAAATAACAATCATAATTCCAACTCTTATGTCGATACCATATATCCCGGTGGGCTTGAGGTAAAAGATACCATAAAGTCTGACACATCTGTTTTATATTTGGATATTTTACTTGAAAAAAGACGTTTAATATAATTTAAAAGCCAAGCTCTATGATAAACGTGATGACTTTAACATTTCTATCGTCAACTTCCCTTACTTATACAGCAATATACCTGCATACAGAGTATATATATCTCAGTTGATTCAATGCACAAGAGCATGCTCTACGTTTGAAAAATTTCTAAAACGAGGTATATTATTGACAAACAAGTTGATGAAACAAGAATATCAGACGTCTCGTTTAAAGTCATTATTTCTAAAGTTCTATGGTCGAGTAAATGACATCGTCAGCCAGTACAATTTAACACTGAGTCATATGCTGACTGACGTTTCCATATTGAATGTTAGTCCATTATTTATACACTGAATTGACGACGGATTTTTCCGTTATTTCCCAATCTTGACAAGGAGCACACGGCGTGTGTGACTGATAGGCAGGAGATGCTCACTCCTCCATAGCACCTGATCCCACCTCTGATATTTGGAGGTCCATGTTTGCTCTGCTCCTGTTTTGTATTGTTTAATGGACTTTTGTTCTTGAATACTGTTCGCTATCTTCATATTTTCCATTATGTCAGAATAAATTATAAAAAAAATTAGTTATTGTTAAATGTGAATCTATTTTTTTGCAGGATGTTACTCTGATCAAGATATTTCTTTCAAAAGAATGAATCATTGTTCCCTGAGTGTTCCATCAGCTGGATTATGTCAAGAAAAATGTACTAAGAGAATGCCGAGTACATTTTTGTTTGCAATCCAGGTTCCTGTATATTTTATAATGTGATAACAGCTAAAATATGTCGACAAGATAAATCAAAAAATGATTTTTCAAGTTCTATTATTTTTTGAAATGCAGGATATTATAAGCAAATTTCTGAAAACAAATACTGCTATTCAATATGACTGCTGCTCAAAAAATTCATTTTTTTTTTAAATGAAAAGAAAAATTTGAAATTTTCTGATATACACACAGTAAGATTACGGCTACTTCCGCGACAAAATACCGATTTTCTGTATGACTTTTATTTTCCCTTCTTAATTTCACTTCATTTACATATTCTATCTTTCATTGGTAGTTCATTGATTATCGGTCTTAATTGGATTTTTTTCTATTTTGTATAAATAAATAATAATTTTGAACTTTCGAACGGTTTAAATTGATTGAATAAAAGATTCTTACGATATTCTAGCATTATACAAGTGCAAATGAAGATAATAATAAAGAAGCAAAGTAAAATGTATGTTAGCTTATTGTAAGCTATTGGGGATTCACTTAAATGAGTACCGAAACGTCGTTAATATTTTAACAACGGTATTGACTTGCCTAAATACGATAGACATTACCTAAATATATGTATGCGTTTAATAACGTATAACACTTACCTCAATAATTGATTTAGGCAAACGTCAAAATTGTGAAATGTATTAAGTGATTTATTTAAAGTGAAAAAAACCCTTTAATCTATTTATTTGCATATAACATAACTGAAATATTATATTTATCGTTAGAACAATTCATGCATCTGTCTGAATGAACCTCCCAAAATCCCACAAAGTCAACTTAGGAACTGTAAATTCTGCATTGAAAACAGCAGCTTCCCATCGGAACAAGACTGTGATGACAAAGTGTCCTACAAAATATTCTTGTCCAGTGAGTAAATACCAGTCATGCTTGTAAAGACTTGCTTTTATATTTAATTCTTTTAAGAAATAGGTATTTTTTAAATTCCATAAGACACTATACACAAATGGTTGCTATGGAAACAAAATATTTTATTTTCCATAGCAACAGTTGTTATTGAGTTTTTGTTTACTCTGCGTGACTTCATATGTCATCATTACGAAGAATTGTAAAATGTTTGATTAAAATCCAAGAGTTTCAATTTTCCAAATTTTGCATGATTTTTACTGAGAACACTACTCACATATTTTGTATTTTAAACGTACTTTTCCTCTCTTCTATATATATCTATATATAACAGCTCTATGTCATTCATTCATGTACCCTCTGTGCTTATATTATAACATTTAAAAGAATTGATAAGCCAATTTAGGGAATAACTGCCTACTCATCTGTTAGATTGTTCCAACAGCGATTACAGTTCACGGTAGCTCAGTCGGTAGAGCGCTCGCTCCGTGATCGGGAGGTCGTGAGTTCGTATCTCGGCCGCGACTGACGTAAGTCGATAAAAAAATGGGTAGCAACTGTTCCTTCGCCATGCGCTCGGCACTTTGAAGTGAAAGTTGCAGGTCCTTCGGATGAAACCTTAAAAACCGAGGCCCAGCGGCAGGCGTTGGTATGATAAAGATCCCTCACTGTTCAATGGCCCTGAGTGCCGAGTAAAGGTCAAAATTTGAAGCCCTTCACCGGCATACGGTGACGTCTCCATATGAGTGAAAAATTCTTGAGAGGGACGTTAAACAATATACAATCAATCAATCAATCAATCCAACAGCGATTAATACGGAGATAATAGTCGACAACTTAACGGTAGTTTTGACGACTATGCTACATCTATCGCGTTATCAGTTACATTTTTACGTTTTTTTTTTTTTTTTTTTTGTTTTTTTTTTGTTTAATCTTCCTCAAATGCGTTTTTGAATCATTCAAACATTACTGCATTGAGTTATCAAAATACGTTATGTTAAACAGGTGCATTGCAATAAAATATCCTTAACAATAAGTCCATGTATATGGTGGCATATTTATGCCATCCACATAATTTTTTGTCAACATAAGATATCATGACAAGTCAAGATAACTTTCTCGTCAAGTGATGATAACTTTCTGGTTTGTCGACAAACACCGACTTTATATCTTGTCAAATCAAAATAAGCTATCACCTTTTGTTGCAATAGCTATCTTGACATGACGAGATAACTTTTTATCGCGATACAAGATAAATTACCTCGTTTTGTTGAGATAGCTATCGCAAAAGTACGATAGCTTATCTTGACTGTACAAGATAAAAGTCGGTTCTTGACAACAAACCAGAAAGTTATCATCACTTTACGAGATATTTATCTTGACTTGACATGATATCTTATGTTGACAAAAACTTATGTGGATGGCATGAATATGCCACCATACATGTATCATTTTATTAACAAGATAACTGAAATTTTAATTTTATGAACAGAACCAAAGGGTCACAGTGCCTACTTTAGTCATGTCTATTTTGTCCTGCTTTTCATCATTTTATTTGTATTTCCTCTTAAAGATTGTTAAAAATGTTGACCTCATAATGTTTAAGGAAACTATCATTAAATCAAATTTGAATCCGCTTAAAATAATAATAATTTCATATTAAAAATGCTTTTAAAATAACCACCCATGCTGTTTTGTAAAAGATTTAATTCCCGACATTTACATTACACAATCACAGTTGATCCCTGATTACGGGCCAACCAGAACCGTAGGGCCGATAATTCAAAAGAAATATCATTAGCTCAACCTTGATATAAAAATGTAATTGAAACTAAACTAAACAAGGATACTTTTTCCCTATCCTAACCCCAGTGACAATGATTTATCGTTAGATATACAGTACCGACTAGACCCAACCTGACACAAAGCAGTCCCAGAGCAGTCCCACAGCGGTCCCAGCGGTCCCAGAAAGCAGTCCCAGTAGTCCCAGTGGGCGGGGTTTATTAATTTAAAGGGCGGAGCTAACTTAGAAATGAGATTTGCAATAAACAATGGTACTATAAAAGGCAGTAGAAATTGATTGTGGGTAGTATGCCAGGAATCCTTACATGTGAGCGAAGGTCATTTATAAACAGTACACGTATAGAAGCAAATTGAATCAATATTTTAGTTATATTATTGAGGGAAGAAGTCTTTCACACATACATGTACACGTATGAATTAAACTGAAAAGAATATTCAACCACCATTATCGGGTATATTAATAATTCAATTTCTTTATTTTCTGTGATTATACTGTTTCCCATATTTTTTTTATACAGAAAATTAAACGTGAATTAATTATTTTCCAACAGTAAGAATAAGCTTTAAATAGACCTTATCTTTATATGGCCAATTCCCATACTATCGGGATACTCAAAAGGAATTTTTTGTGGCTTTTAGAAAATTCTTTGCTAATTTTGCCAAGTACTGGTATTACTTTTCAGTCATGATTATTTTTAGTGACATGTCAATTTAATTATATAATTGTTAAATTCTCTATGTCTATTATACTCAGTTTTAAGTGTTTTATTTGTAAATGTTAGAATGTACATACGTAAATCACCAGAATGGAAGCCTCAGATTATGTTCAAAATTAATTAATCCTGAAAGAAATGCATACACAAAGCATTTATTAATTGTACATATGCTTTACATACCGGTAGACTGAAATTAGGGTCATTCTTGACCAGCATGAATGATGTGAAACGCTGATACGTATACCCAAATAACATATACACTGATTTTCTGCCCAGGCCCTAAGGGAATTGAAACCGCCGGTGTTGATACCATTTAATAAACATTAATCGGCCAGGTAAACACAAGCAAAACAAAAAAGAAATAAATCACAATTCCTGGTATTTTCAATTGTTTGTTTACGAAATAAATGTACTCTTTTGATAACTTGTTAACAAATTAAAAACTATCGGTTATTCATTAATAAATTCCCGAATAATTATTCAAATTGTTTCACATTGTTTAAGTTATGGAAGAATTGTAGCATGATTTTATTTCATGGTCATTTAATAAATTCTTAGGCTTTATTTGAGGGTTGCATGGAATACTTTATTAGCGTGGCACTCGTAAAACATGAAACTTTTCAATTAAAAATCATATCTAACTGTAATGATTTTTTTAAATAGTGCTAATGCAAATTTTGAGTGAATATAATTTTACATTAAATAATAAGATAGGCCTACATGTTGATATTTTTTCTCATAAACCTGTAGTTTATTTTTAGGGATAAAAATCTTTCCCTTAGTTCCTTATTTAATAACTTTATTTAAAGAAATATTCTAACTACTAATGTATATTTGTGTAAATATACAGTCTCTGAAAATATTAATTAACTATAATAGAATTTAATCTCTACTTATCAAAAGATTGTAAGAAATTCTTGCTTTTTTAATAGTTTAAACTCCTCTCTGCGGCAAGTAAACAAACCAACTGGGAGCCTGCAAATTCAGAATACTCAAGGCGGCGGAGCAATCCTGTCACTCAGAACGTTTTTCACACATGAGTGAACAAAGCAGTCCCAGAAAGTAGTCCCAGGGACAGCTGGGAGTGTTGGGACTGCTGGGTCTGCTTTTTAGAGCTGTCCCAGGGCGTTCCCAGAGCAGTCCCACAGCGGTCCCAGAGCAGTCCCACAGCAGTCCCAGAGCGGTCCCAAAGCAGTCCCGGGGACTGCTTTCTAAGACTGCTTGGGTGTCAGGTTGGGTCTGATCGGTACTGTATTTGAATGTACACAATCTTAGGATATGTCCATATTAACTAGTGCTAATTGTAACGGGGACCGTTACAGATGTTCCCCAAACGCTCCCCATATCCCTTTTGGTGCCATATTCCATGTAAGCTTCATTAAATAAGTCAAACCCTATGCATTTGAGACTTTAACAATGTTTACCCAAAAGTGTACCAAGTTCATTCAAATTTTAGCATTGCACGCATTCACATGTGAATGCATGTGTGTAATGACCATATCATCTTGTCTAAACAATCTATATATTTTAATATACTAAATATTAAAGTATTTAATTCAAAACTGTTAAAAAATACACTCATCTAAGAGTATTTTTGATTTTACTCATTTCACGTGCACGCACGTGCATACATGAGCATGGTGACCGTACCTTCTTATAGAAGTCCATTACATCTATCTATGTTCTAAATCCCACCCCGTTTCGTTGAAAACCTAGGGAGTTATAGCTGTTTAAAGTTTCAGCCAATCATATTACAGCACACGTACACGCACGTGTATGCATGTGCATGTTGACCATACCTTCTTGTAGAAGTCCATTACATCTATCTATGTTCCAAATCCCATCCTGTTTGGTTGAAAACCAAGGGAGTTATAGCTATTTAAAGCTTAAGTTAATCAGATCGCAGCACACGTGCATGCACGTGTTTTCATGATAATTGCTATATGTCGTGCTTAGGATATCCTACTGCATGACTATGTTCAAAATTTCAAAGGATTTTATTAAAAAAAAACAATAAAGATATTGAAACTTTAGTTTCAGCCAATCAGAGCGAAGTGCATGTGCATGCGCGTGAGATCTTGCTATTTTGACCATGTCATATTGTCTATAATACTAATATATCCTTATATTATGAGTTTCAAAATTTTTCATCAAGAAATAGAAAAGATTCGGCTATATCCATTATATTGGTCATTTCACGTTTTGCACGTGCACGCTCTTGCAAGCACGTGCACGCGAAATGACCTTTGTTCCGCAAATCTACATAACATGCCTACTGACCCTTAAAAGGTTTCACCTAAGTCGGATGTGTAGTTTACGAGATCACTCGCGGAAAAGATTTTCCCAGGAAGAAGGAAAATAATAATAATAATAAGAAACAGAGTAAAAACAATATGTTCCCCAACTTCGTTTGGGGAACATAATTATGACTTGTCATGGATTTGTTGTTCTTAAAGAAAAAAAAAAACGGTTTTCCGGCACGTACATGTAATTTGTCAAATGTTAAATTATAATTGCCCATTGCGATCAAACCACCGAACCCCCAAAGGAAACAAAAAAGATTCCATTAACTCCCACTTGCTACTACGTTTCCCCCTTGAAGGATAACAAGATCATTAACGAATCTGTGAAGTAAATTTCTTAAACAAGGTAATTTGCATACTTTCGTCAAGTTGTTCTAGAGAAGAAGAAATTAATGTGAAATATTTACAGTCGATACAAAGCAGAAACAGACAGCAGACGGACACTCTTTGATTAGAAATTATCATTTAATTGCAAAGCTAAATATTAAAGTAAAAATCCATATCTATCATAAATTGACGAATTTGGATAAAAGAATGATTCAGAAAAACAGATGTACGGACACATAGAAAATATTTATCTAAAATGGTTTATTATGGTTAAAATGTTTCCTATATAAAGTTCACAGGGTAAAATAACTATCCTGTATAGTCCCATATAGCAAACCTATACCCCGGGGTATAGTTTTTGCTATCCACCCTCGAAAAAAATTTCATGCAATTGTTACCGCCAATTTTGATTTCCATGCAGCGATAAATCTTTAAACTGATGATGTCATAATGACTTCAGTTGCATTGTGACGTCATCTGGATTTTAGATTATTCTTGCAGAATTATCTTACTCCAAAAAATTCAAACCTCAGGAACTATATTATACATCAGTATAATAAAACGCTTATCCACTGGGTGTCAGTGGGATAGCTCTTTTATCAAACCTTTGACAGGAACTATTCCCCTCGGGCAAGCCCTCAGGGAATAGTTCTCTGTCGCAGAATTGATAAAAGAGCTATCCTACTAGCACCCAGCGGATAAGTGTATAATATTCAATTATATGAAACAAAAAATCGAACAGAAAAAAGTAATTGAGAAATGCAGATAACAATGGCTTAGTTCAAGAATTTTACATTTTACATTTTGATGTTTCTTTCCAATTATCCAATATATCTAATTATGCATAAATTTTCCTTTTAAATTCCTTATAACTTATATTTACCTCCTTTATATAGTTGTTATTCAAGAGGACATCAAAATTCCTGCATCAAACTGTAATAAAACAAATAAATGCTGTGAAATACATTTAAATCGCATAAATGAAAGACAAATTCCAGGTGAGAAATATAGTTTCCGCAATTTTTTTTTTTATTATTATTATTTATTATAAACATAAGATAAAAAACTAACACACATAAAAAAAAATATTTAATTTTTCGCTAAATTATACCTGTCTATGATTATGTTTAGTAGATAAAAATAAATCAAAATTTATATACATTTTTTTTTATAAAAATAAAATTTATTTAGTTTCTTCTATGTCTCTGAATAAGGTGTAACAAACATTATCTAGATGATAAAAGTTTATTTTCCCTTGATTTTGTGAACTTCTCTATAGACACATGTGTTTGCCTTTTTATATTTTTTCCACATTTTTTTTATCCAGAGAAAAAAAATGCAAAGAAGGCCTTAGGAAATGATTTCACCTTTGCTTTCCTCAAAATATGGGATCTGCTGAAAGGACCGTTAGAAGACAGATCCACTTGCATAGTATTCACAAGGCACACTTATACACGTTTTGATCAAGGTTTTTTTCATAAGTTTCATAAACCCTCTGCTCACTCATATGAAATGTTATTTGAACATTAAGAATTTTCCGAAATAAATGTATTTACATGTAAGTAAAACACAAACAATTAAAGCTTGTGGGGCAAAAGTCGACAAAAAGACATTTCAACTAGGCATATTTATTAAGGAATAATAGACATTTAAGTCAATGAGAGTTATCTCTCTTATCAGAGTATCGATGAACCTTAAATAAAAGTTTCATTTCAAGTTAGAAACTTAAATTGATTTGTTTTTGAATAACGTTTGGCACTCCTATTTAGATAGTAATTAAAGCGTATGAAAAATTTACGATTGCAGGTAATAAGCTTACCGACTTCGACAAAAGCCAGATCTCCTCCTGTGAACAGTGTCTAATTAATGGATGTTCATTTGTTGACTGTTACAATTATGTAGATAAAGTCTTCTGTTCAAAAGTATGATCATTTATTGATTTTACATCATTCATACAGTGCTAGTTTTTAAATCTGAAAATCCTAGATTTTAAATCTGAAAATCATTCTGTTAATTGATATAAAAGAGGACATGACTGTCTCGAAAAGAGTTTAACTTTGATACATACAACATGATATGTTATTTCTTTTTTAAATTGATCTGGTTTTACAAGTAAAAAGCAATGCTATTCAAATCAGCAACCATGTTTAAGCACGGTTCTGGTAAGTGTTCAAACAAGTAACAAAGGTTAAATTTACTTGATTTTTAAAAATATTATTTGTATATATATTTTAAAAATTCTTAGAAAGTATATGAAAATGCTGGTTGAAGATCTTCCTATTAATCAGGGTTTGTGCATTCTAATTTTTTAATTTGTTCTCTTTGGATAATTATCCATGCATAGGATTCTTGATAAATAATTTAAATGAAAATACAACCAAGACTTTTGTGCTTCATTTAACATCTGAGATTTTACGTCTATTCTCATTCACAAGTCCGGCATTTCCGTCGTTAATTCCTGAAACCGTATCCAAGAGTTACTGAAAGACTTTTAGTGTATTTCTTGTAAAAGATTACAATTTAAATTTTTAAAAACTTAAATCGTTTTTGTTCATTCTCTAGACCATATTTACCTCTCGTCCTGCTGTGAGCACAACACATAAAAGGAAAACAAACACATTCCCCAAACAAAATTGGATACCGACGTCAATTACAGTATTAATAAATCAACCAAAGACGACAGATCTCAACAGTGAGGTAAAATTAAAACTCAAAAAGAATGTGTTACAGCATGCATATAAATGATACTTGATTTTACAAGATAGTCTACTATAGGAAAATAACATTTTTGTGCAATACTTTTATTCCTGCTTTAAGTCGAATCATACAACATCACTTGTGAGCCGAGCATACAAAGATCTCTCAAAATCAGAAGTGGGATCATGATCAGTTTGTCATGATCAATGAGTGATGATTCCCCTAATGTAGATTTTCCAAAGGGTTTGGAAAAGTTTTGGAATTCCATGGAATTACAATCATTTCTATACCAAACTCGAAAAGTGTGTCTGAAAGTTTATGGAATATTTTGGAATTTGAAAAAAAAAATGGACTTAGACATTTTTTGGTATGGAAAGTAGTGGAATTCTTTGGGAAAAATGATAAAATGAGAAACTTAGCCATTTTCTGCACTGGAAAACTGTGGAAAATTACTTAGAATTTTTTTAACTGTCGACTAATAGTACAATAACATCGGGATCGAAGTCGGGCTCGATGAACAATTAATTTAAACAACACGCCGAAATTCAAAAATATCAAATGCCATGTTGATGTTGCACAGAAGGAAAGTTGGAAAGAGAGTGTCTAGAAGGGTGCGTATCATTACCGCTACATTTTCAAAATTTTCATTACCGCTACATAGTCATTACAGCTACAGAAAACCTTACGTTACCGCTACATAAAAAAGTATACATTACCGCTACATTGCCTCTTTCGTTAGCCAGCCATTTATGCGTGTACAGTACAACCTATATATGTACATGCATAAGACCCGTTCCCCCTGCTCACCACGGGGAGATGAAAGTAGGACTTTGAACAGGATGGGGTATTTTTATTCAAATCAACCAATAATTCGTCGAGGTCTGTTTTGCAACTTTTTTCAACTCTTTTTAACGCATCTCCACAATTTTGAAATTTTTTCTAAATTTATAACCATCGATAAGTAAGCCGACATTCCCTCGATTTGTAACAAACTTCTCAATGGTGGCCATAGTGTTCAGATGACGCTAAATAATTAGTTTCGACTGCAGAGTTATTTATATATAAATGTACTCATTCTGATTAGATAGTGAGTGAATTTTGTTGATTAGAACTTATATACCGAACCATACCTGGCTAAAGCGATATGTAGCGGTAATGAGTTGTTTTTGGCTGATTCAGTATGTAGCGGTAATGAGTTGTTTTTTGCCGGAAAAGTGTAGCGGTAATGATCGGTCGAAAATCTGACAAAATGTAGCGGTAATGAGTTGAAATTTTTGGCAATGTAGCGGTAATGTTGACCTCCCGTCTAGAACAGGGGAATCATGATTAGCTTGGGATGGAAGAAGATGAAGACATTTTAAGACCCGGTAGGTACAATATTGTACAGTATTTTATGTGCCCTTATATGAAGAACGCTTCTGCTACTGTTCATTAGTCTGGGCACCACACATAAACTGCCCGATGGTGAAATCATTAGTGCACTATTTTAATTTTGTAATAGTTATTTAACAACTCTAAACATATCGTTAAGATCATGGATTTTAACCCGAATTTCTTCGTTTAGGATCGAACTGATGTAAAGAATTTTACCTGTACCTTCCTTTGTTCAAGATAATATTTACAGAGTATGATGTACAAGGTGATTAATTATATATTTTTTAATGCATGTTCATGATCATTTTCAGCTTTTATTTTAATTATTTTATAGTTGCTGCATTGTGCCTGAGATCCCCAAAGCGCTGGCGTTTGATAACTTGGTGGATGTAGATACCTAGCCAATCAATCACCAGGCTTGTGAATATGGTGAGAACTAGCTCAAATTATCATTCAAATCAAGTAAACTAACACTGATTTTATTAATCCATGTCTATTAGTATTAGATTAGAAAAAAATATTGCAACTTTGCCAAGGAAACAAAATTTAATGGTTTATATTCTTAACACGCTTAAATTCCTTATTCTAATAATTTAAAACAATGAATTTTGACAGGTAATCTAAACATGCTAACTGCACAGGCATGCATAATTATTTTAGATCAAATAGCAATCATCTACTATGAAGTATACATGCATTTTACAGGAATCCGGATGCTCTCAAGGAGAAGAGCTGTATGGAAAAAAACAAAAAGGTCAGATTTCTTAATTATTTTCTATTGTTTTGTATAGCTTTAGTTCATTATTTGTCATATGCTAGTATTTATATGGATATCAATAATGATTCATCTTAATGGTCATATTTTCTTTCAGAAATTGTGCAAGGAAAGTTTGAAGTGTCTGTGGGTATTATCAACATCCACCTTTCTGAGCCTTCGTACTGAAAGTGAATCCGTCCCTGACACCAGTTATCTGTCAACCCTCTAACATGACCATTTATCATGGGATATCAGTGAGGAAGTGATTCTCTTGCAAACACGTCAGCAGTTTTGGATCTTCATTAATCGGGATCTTTGGCACGTACATTGGGGGAAAATAGCATCTGTTGATTTTATGGGATCTTTGTATCAAAATAGTTGTGTAGTACATATTTTTTGCATTTAATACATGTGTTTGTCACTCTAGTCATTAACTTTGTACCAGTACATAAGCCACTGGCAGTTCATTGTAAATGTATACCCTGTTGAGGTTTCAATGGCCTCTTCAATTCCATGGCCAATGTCATTTAATAAAACTAGCTTCTTATTTTAGAAAATGTAGACTGGAGTTTACTAAATACATGTATATCATAACATGATTATCATTAATTTAACCAAGGTGATTCTCCAGTAATCATATTTTTCTGTGGATATTTTTGTAAATAACCTTAATCTTTGATGTAAAAATACTTTCAGTGAGAATACATATAAAAAATGTGCTTAGATTGTACACTTGAGAGTATAGGCAATATTTGTCTCAAAAAAACATTGTAAAAGAAACAATGAATTTTTTATTTTGAAAATATAGAGTTGATCTATGAAAAATTTTGATGGTATTAAGTTTTCTTTTGTAATTATGCGGCACTAATTATTTCAGTTTTCATTGTACATGTATTTGGAATTTGGAATCCTGGAATTCCATGAATTTCCATGGAATTCCTTAGATTTACAAATATCCTGGAATTCCACGGATTTCCTCCGCAAATTTCCATTGTGGCATTGTTCCGCTCTTTTCCAGGCTAGATTCAAAATTCCAAATCATTCCGAAAAAAATTCCATCCCAATACTCCGGAGAATTCCTAAGAATTCTGCGGAATAAAGACTCCATGGAATCCCATGGAATATGCCTTGGAATTCCATGGAAGTTGCGGCAAATCTACATTAGGGTCCCTGTTGAAAGGCCACACCTGAGTTGTGCCTTTCGTTACGATCAGTTAATCAGGGAAATCTATAGTCAATTCAATGTGAAAAAATGGGCTATAGGTACATTGAACAAAAAGTTCAGTCAACATTTAATTAACTAACGATAGATCGAATTTGCAATAAAAAGTTATTCTGTCGACAACAAAATTAGCGTTGACATTACGAAATTCTTGATTTCCTAGTATCATTCTTTATTGTTATAAAATGTCATAATTAAAACATGCTCTTGCAAATGAAATAAACTGGGGGCATAACATCCATATTCAGTATATAATGGTATATTGTATAAGTAAGTGAAGTGACGATAGAAAAGTTACGTGAAAATTAACTATTAAAAACTTTTTATTCTTTTTCCCTTTAAACAGACCACAGTTCTCCCGCACACTTCATTTAATATATCACTTGAGGGTAAATCAACAGTCATAACAGACCAATCCTCATATGCAGCAACAACAATGAATCAACATAAAACAAAAGATATCAATTGGAACGTTACAATGCATTGGAATAATTACACAACAACGGTAGAATTTACAACTAACAAAAAAGGTGCATATGAAATTTTATTGTATGCAAAATATATGTTTTATCGTTAATCATAATAAGTTTTATAATTGAAATTGCCTAATTATATAGTTTTTTCGTTATTGATTCTGAAAAAAAAATGGTTACATTCTGATCAGTTTTATAAACGAAATGATTCTAATAAACTGTTTATGGCATACTGGGCAATAAATACACGGCTTTTTGCAAATGCCATATTTGCATGTGTGCTTTGTCCTACCTTAATAGACAGGTAAAAGATAAAAACTTGTCAATTGCCCGTTGATATGTTTGTAGTTGCAAAAAATAATTCATTATTCTTTAAAAACTCTGTACCAAAGCACAATGTCTGGCGGTTTATTTTTCTTCTACTGCTATCATTTTCAGATACTCTTTAGAATAATGTCAGTTGTCTTTAATACACAATGGTGCCCTTTATGCGTAGCCTAAAGGTGTGTAAAACTAACAGTCTTCCTCAATGGAGTAAGTAAAGATAGAAAACAGTGATAAATCTAAAAACAAACAAACCATCTGTGAACAGACCAAAAAACAAAACAAAAAAACTCTAAAAAATTAAGAGGCGGGAATAAGTGCACAAGAGGAGTAAGGTACTATGTCCTCGGGACAAGGATTCTTTGAAATTCGTATTAAACACAGGACATATATTTACATGAAGGTAACATCAATCAGCGATTGGTTCTAAATGAAATTTGCATTGATCATATTGGTCAAAATTTAATGCAGTTTTTATACTTTGCGTAATGTTATTGCTAATCTCCATGAGGAAGCACATTAATATCGGGTAATCACAATATTAGAGAGGTACTGTAGATTTCTTATTTTTCATGAGTACCTATCGGAGAATAAGTTTTAAACTTCCTATCACCAGAACACTGATTCGTGAGTGGAAAGTTAATCGGAAAAAAAATTATATGGATTTCAGCACCATGAAAATAAGAGTGAGTAATATAATTTCACGAGCTATGTTTCTTTTGAAAATAAGTGAGTTTTTTTTTTTTTTTTTTTTTTTTTTTGACAAGCTTCAAAATATACTGCTGATAGATATGTGTTATTAAATAAGGTACATGTCTGTATACATGTATTTTTGAAAATAGGAATAAATTTCTTACGTTTTCTTAGTATTTCAATGCTACTATAGAAAATTAACGTAGGATATGAATTTAAAATGTTTTGTTTTTTTTCAGAGTTTGTCTCGCGGTAAAAACGGATTATTTACTTGTATGTCCTTAATTTGGGTCATATAATTATAAGTTTAGTCTTAATTTTATATAGACATGGGAGTTGATAAAAGCAGACAGGCAAAAAACTGAAAATTTTAATTTGTTTTTTGTCTTAGAAGACGAAGATAGAAGCCATGAAGACTTGATCAAGATTGTAGCTCCTGTATTAGCTATTGTAATTTCAGCATTTTTAATGTGCGTTGTCATCAAACTCCTCAGGTATGAAGAGAAAAAAAATTAATGATGAATGAATCCCAATAGAACATTCATATTTGATATCAGTACAAGTAAAAGCAAAATATTAAGAACTCATCATTACTTAAATTTGTATCTACGGGGAATTTTTTCCCATTACATTCTTCTGATATTTCGTTCGAAAGAGTCACCTCATTAAACTATGAAAAAAACTGATATGAAAGGTTTAAGGTAGGATTCTTCTCACATTTCTTGTATTTAAAAATTAATGAAATTTTCATAGATTCAAGAGGACAAAATCACTAAGTGATGGTATCAGTGAGATTAAATTTGACCGTTTAATATTAGAGGCAAGGTCAGGTCAAGGTCATTACCTTTTTCCTAGACATGAAGAATAAAAAATTACTGTTTCCAATCATGCAATCCCTACTTGTAATTTAAAAGATTGAATGTTTTTCTTTTTGCATAAATAGATACTACAATATAGGGCCTATAAGATAATATTACCAAATTGACATAGATAATTTAAATAAAATGGATACTTGCTAATCCGAATTACCTCTACTTTTCTTAAATTTTTAGGATTTATTAGTTATTTTTATATGCTTCCTATGTTTAACCTTTTCTAATTTTCACATATAGTAAAGTTGTCACATAAAGGTACAAAATGATACAAAAACTAAAAGTTTTGATCGTTTACTAAGAGAGAAATAACACTTTTTACGGATTTTTGGCTCAAATCTGTACTTAGATTTGAAGCATTTAAAAGCCAACATAGTTCAATTATGTTTGAAAAATCTTATTTATTTGATATATTTTGAAACTTTAGTCCCTTATTATTAATTTAACTTACATTTGAAAATTTCATCTAGTCTTTGATTGCGTCAACATTATAACTAAATTCAATGTTCCATAATAGTTTTGAGAGGCAGAAAAGAAGATATTTTCATACGCCACCATTCCGCCAAAAATATAGTCCCTAGTAGTTTTCAAACGCAGTTTACTATTTCTATTTAAAGTTGTATAATTGTGATGAGGAAAGAAAAATATAGTTTTTTAAATCTCGTACATCTAAATATATAAGACATATCAACAAATGTACGGTGAATATTCCATCTAGTCAGAAACCAGAGAAGAATCCTACCTTAAATAATGCACAGGAATAAATACATTTTACAAATGAGTGAATATTTTAAAGCACAGAAAAAACAATAGAATAAAAGACACCTTAATCAGCATCAAGTATCCTCAAAAATCATACATATTTTGTAATTTATATATAGAATGCTAATTATATTAAGATAGGTATCCTAGTTGTACTTAACACTGCTTTCTATATCACTCCTACTACTAAGTATTTTATGTGTATTCTGATGCAATAAGCATCCTATATTTGAAAGGTATTTTTCATTTTAAGATGAAAGTATGCCTATTAATTGCAAAAATTATTTTATATAGAAAGGCCATCTCTCAATTATAGTTTCGGTTTCTGATATTTTATGCAGAAGAAAGCAAAATTTACGAGGAAAAAGAAATTTAGCGTCACAAAAAGATTTCTCATCAGGATGTGTTGTTGACAAAAACCTCTCCAGCCCTCAGTATGCTGAAATTAAGAACAAAACAGATGAACACTGTTTAGAGGAATGCACGTATGATTTGGCAGACAACAGTAACTTGGAGGAAGAAAGGTTTACGTGTAACACTGAAGAAGAGAGTCACTATGACCATCTTAGAGATAATGATCAAAACAAAAATGTGGACGAAGATATCTATAATCATCTTCAAATTGAAAGTGAATCTAATTATTCCACTTTTACACGAGGAATTGAGCTACAGGGAATTGTTGATAATCCTTACGGTGAAGCAGACTTTCAAAATGATACTTAGTACTGTTGCTAGTTCCGTTTACATAATTTTTCCTAATGAGTATTCTAAAGCAAAAAAAAAATCATACAAAAAATAAACTAGAAGGGCAGTAAACAATATTTTCAAAAAACATTTCAAGGAAGGAAAATTGTTTATCTACAGAGTACAGCTTCAATTGTAGTGCATAAAAACTCCAGCATACTAAAGTACGTATATCTGTATTAGTGTTAGGTTCCACGCCATGTCGTTATTTTATTTATTAAACAAAATTAAACATATCTAGAATTATATTATTAGTTACACAGTCAGTTAGGGACCTAATACGGTGTTATGAATTTATCCCACTGAAGACCCTTTTAAAAATAAGAAAAAAACTATGTGCATATTATGAAAATATATAAGTTTATTCCAATAACAATCAAAATTAAATATCGTACCTAAACTACCTACATCAGTACATGTAGTGATGTATGCAAACCGTTTCCTAGCCGCCATTTTATTTACAATAACGTTTCAAACAGAATCGCGTGCCCGATTTTCATAATACTCCTTTTTGGCGACATAATACAGTAAATCTCATCAGGGCGTTATGTGATTAGCTTTTATCAGATCAGTTATCTACAAATTTGTCTGAAGTGGGATAAATTTATATATGAGCAATGCAAGAATGCATCTTAATTGAAGGATAAAATCGAAATTTCCAAACTTCAAGTTGGTACATGTAGATCAAAAGCACTCTCAAATATACTTCGGGTAATTTGCAAATGAATGAAAAGTTACATTTGATGCAAGGGTTGATAATAGATATATATTCAGCTGAAATTTTCATTTCAAAGGTTTAATTTTTTCTGGAATCTGATATATTAGAAAATAAATAGGAGAGGATCAAACAGTTTAGTTGAATTAAAATGCATATCATTTAAACCACAAATTCATCAAAATACCGTCATTGAAATATTTCTAATAAAATTAACTACAGGTAACTATAGTTAACCATAGTTTACCTCATTTATACTGAATATCATGATTAACTATGACACTTTACCCGAGAATGTTTCATTCATTTCATATCAATGAGGATTTTTTAAATTTGTAAGAATACAAGAAATAGTTGATTTTAAGATGAGAAAATTACTTGTAATATGTTTGAAAATTAAAATATTTCTAACTGAAATTCAAATTTAAAAAAACGATTAACTATCAATTATATGATAGTGTTTTTTTTACTATGAAAGTTAATTATATAGAATTATTATCGTTAACTATTGTTAAATATAGTGCTTTTTTGTTAGGGATACATGTACTCGTGTACACTTTTATTAGCTTTTTGCACTTACCTAGCACAGTTATAATACTTCAATACGTTTATGTACGGATGCATTTACGCCTACAAATAAACTTTTATTCAATATTAAAAAAAACATACATTCCACAAACATTCATCAAGCATAATGGAATTTATGTATTGAATGCGATAACTTATTTGGAGGTTTCCGGTAGGGTTATTTTTGGTAAATCGTGAAAATTTATTAGATCCACGCCTTGGTTGATGGATTACATTTAATAGAAGGTGTAAGGTCACGTGGTCAGCTCAGCGAGTCATTCAGTTGTATTGTGATAACCCGCATGCTGACCACGCTAACATGAGGCACGTCTACTTTGGAGACCCTCCTCCACCCCTGCATTCCTACCCCTTTAAATGGGTGTTAATGTGTCGTGTAAAATAATATAGTTGATTAGTTCTGACTCGATTTGTTTATACTGTTTTTATGTATTTGCTTCACTACTATCCTTGGCCTTTTTTGTTTTGATGTGCCATCTTTTTGCTAACTTTCGTATATGATGTTTTGATTGTTTTGTCTTACAGATACTTTTTTCTAGTCATTTTTGGGGGATCAGACATTGTCATATTTTACGTAACTGATAATCAAAGCTTGTGAATCTGATCCCCTTCTTGTTTGTTAAATTGTTCACATTTATACCGTCATTTTAATAAATGACTTTATTCATCTCTATGAAAGTGTTTTATTTGACTTAAACAAAATTAGCAAAAAAAAGCTGCGGTGAGCTTGCCTTTAAGCATAAGAATACATGAAGTCAATTGAGTGAAATTGAAGACCCAACTCAAGCTAATTGCAACAGAAAATATTCTTTGAAAAATAAAATTTTAATTGTTAAAAAATGAAGTTAAACTTGAATGACTTCTGACACGACTGTCTTCCTTGAATTGCAGAGTTTCAATAACTGAAGGACCTATGTGCGACTCTGATTTTGCTGTGATCTCTATAATTATACCTAAAGTAGGAGAATGTAATTAAGGAATGATTTTAAGTTTTGTGTGAATTATTGGTGTGTGAATCACACAGACTTATCACATAGGCATATTTCATGAAGATAGCGCTTCATGAAAAATATGTCTGTTTGCAAGTCTGTGTGATTCACACACCAATAATTCAAACTTAACTTAAAAACATTCCTTATACATGTATTTACATTTAACATGTTTGTAAGCACCATAAATATGCTCAATATTTGAATTTCTCGCTGCCTGATATTGTTATTCCGTCACTAACGTCGCTGTAGCCTTAATATATTATATTAATACACTACAAGCTCGCGACTTTTCCCAAGTATTAAGAATAAAAGTAAAGTTTGTGAGACTACAAGGATGCGTCAATCGAAACCATCCAAAAATTTGATGTTTCAATATCTGTAAGATGAAATAAAATTTTTAATATATTTTTGTGTGAAATGCTATTACAATACATAAGTCTGATATTATACAGAAAATATTATGTTCAAATCTGTGTCCATGCACCTTTAAGAATTTTAGCAAAATGTTATTCTTTATCAAAACTGAAATTATTACATAACACCTTATCAATAAAATTTAATCAAAAAGTAACTGCTTGTAAAACTAGTATTGTGTTAAAAAAAATAGTATATTAAAATTACACGAGGCCCATGGGTGACGTCGCTCACCTTGTTGTAAACCAGATTTCCCCCTTGTAAAACCTATTGTGATTCCAAATTATAGCCCAGCCCTACTACCGGGGGTCATGAATTGAACAACTAGACTCTACACTACCCCAGGATGCTTCCACATAAGTTTCAACTTTCCTGGCCCACTGGTTCTTGAGAAGAAGATTTTGAAAGATTGATCCTACATATATCTAAATAAAACTTTGATTCCCTATTGTGGCCGAACCCTACCCCAGGGGTCATGATTTGAACAATTTGAAATCTACACTACTCCAGGATGCTTACACATAAGTTTCAGCTTTTCTGGCCCAGTGGTTCTTGAGAAGAAGATTTTTTTAAGACCCTGCGCCACCTTATTTTGTCTTTTCTTCATATCTCCCGTTTGGAGGAGATTCGATCCTTCATTTTAACAATTTCAACTCACCTTTACCAAAGAATGCTTTGTACAAAGTTTGGTTGAAATTGGAGCAGTGGTTCTTGAGAAGAAGTCAAAAATGTGAAAAGTTTACAGACGGAAGGACAGATAGCTGGACAGACAGACGGACAGAATGTGATCAGAAAAGCCCTCGGCTCAGATGAGTTAAATACCCACTGCGTTGTTTCGTTCTCTTTATGTTCAGGATATGCACAGGATATACTTTTTTTTATTTCTTTTTGTAATAATAAGGCACTGTTCAGGTTGTTTGGACTATTTCAATAGCGTGCTATTGACTGTGTATTTGTGTATTCAGAACAAGAAGATGCATGCAAGATATGCAATGAACGTTTCAAGTCCAGAACGATCATTCTGCACTCAATGTATTCTATGCATTTTCAGTTTATTCAAAATTTTGATATATCCAGCTTGAGATTTTTTTTTTTTTTTGAGTTTCAGATTAAATATGTAAAATGTCACAAGTTTCCGATAGTTCTCTTTTCATACAGTCTATTCGGTTCAGAAAACTTAAGAATTTTCAAATTTATTGAACGTTTTAATTTATCTTAAATTCAGAAAAAAATTATTAGGATTTCTGTTTTGTTCTTGCAGTAATTATGAGTGCAGCCGTGGCCATTACCGCCAATGCAATGAACCATTATAAAAACTTAATATATGTGTCAGTTTCCTTCTTAAGTTGAATTTGATATTGCACCCTGGTAAGCAAGTTTTGTCTTTGATAAAATTACATGTATAGATATCTGTGATTGTGAAAATTTTGTAAAAAATTCGCAGGGGTAATCAAGAAGCATACCTAGTTGTTGAACAAAAAGTGTTTAAAATCCTGAGAGCTTTAAGGTAAAATCAGGAAAAAGGGGCGGGGCACTTAAATTAAGGGCCGAGAGGGGCCAACATGTTTTAATCGATAACTTTTAAACAGCCAATATTTCACTATACATTACTGAATCAAACATGTTCACCTCAGCGATCTACAAATGTATATTATGATTTTTATACCATATGTTACATGTACATAAATAGAGGCCACGAGGGCCAGAACACTAAATCTTTGACGCTTTAGATCTCGCAAGAAGTGAGAATATTTTGAAAAATAATTTTGAATAAAAGATGTTCACAATAATATTATTAACAATATGCAACCTTTCATATTTTTTTTTTTTATTTGCAAAACATTCCCTTTAAGGAGTTAAAGGGTTTACCCCTAAATATTTCTTTTGCAGCTATCTCAGAAACGAACAACAATGTCTGAATAGTTGTTGAACAAAAAAGTGTTCAAAGTCCTGAAAGCTTTAAGATGATATGAAGAAAAAATGGTTGAACCATCATATAAGGACCACGAGGGGCCAAAAGACGAATTTATAAGTCTTTTAATGTTCAATATATTTTTACATATTATGAAAATAAACTCGTTCTTCTTAACAATCTTTATCATAATTTCTGAATGAAAACCTCAATTTAAATTCTTATCTAATCTCATCAGGAATCAGACGGAAGACCCACTCGTTGCTCGCAACGAGATTGTATCTTGTTATTCTTATTTTACTTAGGAAAAAAATAATATTCACAAGTTAAAAATCAAGCTGCTATGGAAACCAATGTAGTTTTTGACATCTTCCTTATAAAGTTTGCGATCAGAAGTACATAAAGTGACACCTATATGGAGAAAACGAACTGTATTTAAGATC